AAGTGTTACACAATCTAGTTTTTTACGCAAAATTGACAAAAAACATTTCCGAAATATCTAAATGACCCTTCATATGTATGTATGAATATAATGCTCTAATATTATTTTAGCATCTGTTAACTATAAAAATATTTATTTAAAGTTTATATATTTGTTTAAAGAATAGCAACATTTTTTTGTAGAAAAAGTCACGTACAAAAACATGTTTTTTATATTTAGAACAACAAATACAACTAATAATAAAATTTAATATTGTACGCAATGATGACATAAAGTAGCAGGTTGAAAATGAACGAAATGTCAAAAATGACATTTTAAATAGTACTGCTGGTGATGCCATTTTATCACCCATGTTGTGTGATAAAAAAAGGAAACATGTTGTTTTACTAGTTTAACTACAAAATGTAGGTGTTACTTTTTTTTAATTTTAAAATAAAATTTAAATAAATAAATATTCAAATTTAATTTAAATAATAAAAAATCATAAATCTTTTGTTTTTCTCATTGTTACCCCCCGTAAACGCCTTGCTGTCAAAAATTACAATTATAATTGTCAAAGTAGCGGATTACAGTTGTATTAAAAGCTATTAACTGTCATTTCATTTAAACAATTTTTCATATTTGTGTAAAAAAACGTTTGCAGCCTCTGCGAAAAAAACGCCTTTTAATGAAATGCACGGGAAAAAAGTGTCAAACCTCCTAGTGAGCAAATTCTTATGACAAATACATAATACACTAATTTTATTCTTTCTCATTGAATTTTCTGACATTATATTACCCTCATTTAGGGGTGTGAAATTTAGGAAATCACTGCATGTATTTGCACAAAAAAAAATGAAATAAAACTATTAATCATTTCACAATGAAAACATAGAATTAAATATTATTAATGAAAAAAATTTTTGACTTTTATTGTGCACATACATACGTACATTCTCTAATAAAGGAATAAATTGCCAAATGTATAAGATTGTAGTAAATACAATATAAATTTTATTGTCATTGTCTGGCAAACCAGCAACAATAAATAGCTAAAGATTTTCATTACCTAAACCACACACGAATATTTCTACTACTCGTTGCTATTCATTCATAAGTTCTTGCAAAATATGGGGATTATTTGTCAGTTTTTCCACAAAAAAACAAATACGATACAATAAGAAAATTCACACAATAACAAACATTTAGTGACACACGACACAGTACTGGCTTGATTTGTTCTTTTTCGTTGCCAGTGTAAACACTCTAAAAAGGGATACTAAGTAAATATAAACAAACCAAACAACAAAAGAGAGGCTGAAAAATAAAGGAAAACAATATTAGAGATAGATTTTTTTTTGTTGTTGCCATTGTTTAGCTACTGTTAAAGAAGTTAAATAATCGTTTAATAGGAAAAATCTTAGTTTTTGTCTGTGTAAACCACACTCTCACATAAATTGAACAATAAACAAACAAATATTACCACTGACAGTTAAATTCAGAAAGGAAAAAAAGAAGAGATACATAGAAAAAACCAAGATAAAACGCCCCTTCCTTATAATTTGCCATAATGGACTTATATTTTTTATAGGTGAATCTATAGTTTAACCATTGAAATTGTCTTTTAACCTTTGCAATAGCCACCAGATGTCTGGTAAACAGTTTGTTTACCAAATATTGTTTTCTCTGCAACTGTCAAATCTATTACCTTAACTGTCTATTCTTTGCAAAATCTAAAAAAATTCCAACTAATGATGAGTTTGCAAAATAAAAAAAAGGTCAGTTTTATATTTATTCTGCTTTAGCTTCACATATGCTAGAGTTTTTCCATGATTTTCATTTGCTCATAAATATATATTTTTTTTGATTTCTTCTCTTTTTCTAACTTGAATGAGTATTTTGACAGTTGAAAACCTAAACGAACTGTCATTTCTATTTGAAATGTTATTTATTGATTCGTTTATCTTACTTTTTTGTATTGATGGCAAAAGGATTGAGAGATTTTTTTTGGTTGGTTTGGGTTGGTGGGGTGTTGAAGGGTTATAATTTTTTCTAATTTCACACTACATTTGTTTTGAAAATTATTGTGATGATTTTTGTTTTGTTTTAATATTAACAGGTGTCTTTATCAAAGAAAACAAAATGAGATAATAAATAAAGAAATAAATTGTTTTGAAGTGTTTTGTGGTTTTATAGGAAAACTAATTAATAAATACAGTAATACCTCGATTAAAAACAAGTAAGAATTTATAGTCGGGCATGGCCGACCATATGATACCCTACAGTGATTACATTACAAATTTTTATTATTATAAAGTATTTAATTTAATTTTTACCTTAATTCAGAAATATTTTAACAATTTGTTGACAAGGGATTTTCCAAAAGAGGGGTTATATGGGGACAGGGGGTTAATATGATCCTATTCTTATAAATTTTGGTACAGGGATTTACGCCTACATCAGAAATGTATGAAGAATATCATCGTGATATTAGTGTTTATAAGTGAATTTTGACCATCAAGTCATTTTCTGAAGGGGACTTAATACGGGGGATAAGGTCAAATGAGGCCCGATCATTGCGGAAATCGGCAGTATCATTAATACTTATATAAAACTAAGTTTTGTCTATTTTTGGAGTGATACAAGAACATTTAACACATTAATGTGCTCAAAAGCCCTATTCATGGGTACGGTTGTATGGGGGCTATATATAATGGACCGATTTTAACCATTTTCAATAGGCTTCGTCCTATTGGGCCAAAGGAAGAGTATGTTCCAAATTTCATCTGATTATCTTGAAAATTGCGACCTGTAGCGTGCGCACAAGGTTAACATGGACACAAGACAGACATAACTAAATCGACTCAGAAAGTGATTCTGAGCCGATTGGTATACTTTAAGGTGGGTGTATTTTTGAGTGTTACAAACATCAGCTCAAACGCAAACTACCCTCCCCACAATAGTGGTGTAGGGTATAAAAAATTAACATTTGGATAAGCTTTATTATCCCAAAATACACAACATAATGGCTTCTTTTAATTGTCTGAATTTTTAATCTTAGAATTCGTGTTATATATCGTTTGCGAAACATCAGATCAGAAGAAATACATCTAGGCCGCTCACGGGTCTGTTAAACACTATTTTACCTGAAAAAGGTTGGTGGAAACAACTTTATATAGTACGCTATGATCGTATTATCATTCGATGTTCAGAAACTCAATTCCCTGGATGTATAACTATAAAGATTTCCAACTTGAGTTCCTAAGGAATGTTCCCAAGATATTTTGATCTAATTTTGACGAAAAGCTGGCAGTGGAAGAAAAGCTTTCAGAGTTTCCTCTTCACGTGCTCTACATTTGACTGAATCCATTCGTCAGTATGTGTTTAAAAGTTAGACTGTTGTCGCTGTTGGAAATGAATCATACTCATCCGATTTTGGTCAAATATTTCGAAAGTATTTCACTCAATGAATGAATTTAATAAAATTTCGAAAAAATAACTAAAAATCTATGTCAAACTAACCGCATTTGTAAAATGCCTAAAAATAATATCATATACGTATATAGTAAAACATCACAAAATATAAATTAATATAATTGTGGTCATAAAATATATATTTATTACCTGTAAATAGATATAAATTTTATTTTGCGTATTTTCTATAAAAAGTTCGATCACATATGAATGCGTCAAGCCCTCTCTCTATAATCATACAATAACTCTGTGAGTTGGCAATATCTACATATTTACAATAACAATATAATATAGGTTAGTCAAACGTAATATGTTCGATGTCCGATAACATTGTGATAATATTGAAAACATACATACTAATTGCAACGTCATAATTTTGTACGTCATTGTCAAGAAAAAAAGGGAATAAATTTAAAACTTCTTGGAAACAGTATGTTACCATGCTGACAATTTCTATAAATTACCATTGAACATACTTTATGTTATTTTGACACTATTGCCAACCACTTGTGAAAATGGGTTTGTATAGTTCACACCACAAAAACACTTAAAATCCCCTAGGAGAAATTCGTTTTAGAAACATCTTGCAGAGATACTGATGAATGGGTGAGAAAAAAAATGTAAATTATTTTTATGACACATGCCAAAGTGACATTTATGGTTGACATCCGACAACCTGTAGCTAGTGAAATAGGAGATTGTTAATGAATTCACAGTTATGTATATGTTTAGGGACAAATAAATTTATATTTTTTCTCATAAAATTTAATGAATGGAATTCTTAGTAAAATACTTATTAAAACCTTAAGGTACTTATGGTAAAATTAAAAATAAGTTTTTCGAGGTCAAAGGTTAGAAAAGGGATGATTCAAATGATTTTCTTATTTAACATTTTAAAACTAAGTTTTTTTCTCAAAAACCTCTTCTATTTAATTAACTTAAAATATCTACTTGACCATTTTTTTAAGTTACTTAAACTAACTTTTAAAGTAACAACAATAAAAAAGCATTTTATTGTTCATAAATAGTGTCTGGTAACCAATGGCATTCCAATGAACAAGTTAAACAACTCCACTGCACTAACTTCTTAAGTATCCATTATGGTAGAGAGTCTCTTTATACTAAAAGGCCATTATTAAGTATTGAAAACTCTGCCAGAGGATACACAAGAAACTAAAGAAATAGTATGAAAGAAGAAAGTGTTAGCCTATTATAATCGTAAACGAGCGCGTAAATGCTCATAAATCCTTTTATGAGCTCATTTAATAGCATTTTAAGTAGCTTGTTATAGTAATGCCACATTAACCCCCTCCCCCCCCCCTCTCTCTCTCTCTCTCTGTCTTCCACTGGTTTCCTACAAAATATTGTGTCTATTCATTGACTGAATTTTTTAAACATAAATTGCAATGGTTTACAACTACACTTCTATTATACTATTAAGTTTATTGCAAATGTATTTTTTTCAATTAGTTTAAACGATTTCGCTGTAATGCAATAATATTTTTTATTTAATTTTGTTTTCCATCATTTTGGTTTGTTCTTTTCAGTTTGGGCTGAAACTGGTGATTTTCGTGATAGTCATAGTTCTATGGCCGCTGTAGCAAATGGTTTAGAAACATCCCACTTAAATAATTTTCAAACATCATCGACGTCTTCGTCGGCGTTAACGAATCGGAGTAGAGATCGTAAAGATGGTAAGTAAATATGAGTTATTTTTTTCACATGCAATATTTTTTTTTATGTAAATCGAGTTGTTGGATTTTACTATCGTATATAAAAGGTGTGACTTTTCGGTAATTAAATTGGTTAACATAATTAACAAAAAACCTGGTTAAGGAAGAATTTTTCCAAAATTTTTCAAACTTCTGGAAGTTTTAATTTACAATTTCTTTAAATTTTAGTATATTTGAGATAAATCTGTGGTATTCGATTGTCAATGCAAAAAACAGTCAGTGTCTAAAAAACTTTGCAAATTATTAAATTTTTTATCGTTCGCCAATTTCGGTGGATGATAACTTCAAGAAAAATGGACGGATGTGAGATTCAACCTGGTTTATACGGTGGCATGCTATAATGCCCATGGGCATTACGGTGTTGGTTGGAGTCCCTCTTTCCATGACAACATCTGTGCAGCCAGGGAAATGAGTATTCAGATATCATGAGTATTCAGATGTCATGAATATTTAAATATCATGATGAACATTCGGATATCAATTGTTCCTACTGATGATTTCGACCAAGGGTTCTTTCTTTTAATGCAGGTTGGATTTTATTGACACTTAGCGAGAATTTTGTTGGGTCTAGCGGAATCCTTTGTGTTGTTAATAGATTCGCAGAAACTTCTCCATGAAATTCTCTTTGAGACTGCTAAAGGGGAGAGAATGTTGGTTTAAGGACTGATATATTCAAATGTCATGGATTCTCTCTCCGGTGCTGTTACCATCTCAACAGATGTCACTGGGTGATGTGACAGAGCAACATATGCTGGATTCCTGAACCCGTTGAGTATCTCTTACTCTTCGCGTAGTATGACGCCAATATATGTTGGGGAATTCTCAGGTTGACACTTATTAGTTGCCTGTCATTCCGTAGATCGTGTTTTATTGTCTGAGAATGGAACTGATGTAATTGGTGAACGATCGGGAAAGACTTCTCTGCCCGACAGGAGACTAGTACTGATTTAGTAGACCTTTTACTTCAGGGAAGTTCTCGGTGCTGTTTCCATCTCAACAGGATTCATATTATATTGAATTGACTTTGGAAATTTCTACATCCTTTGTCACATTATCTGACATACAGAAGGATCCTGATTTATTGGCTGGATATTTCGGACTACCAAATACGTCTCTAGGTACTGTTGACGAATCAACAAAGCCATCTCAGTAGTGTAGTTGCGCGGGGTTTAAGAGGTTAAGGAATGCACTGGAATGGTCATTAGTTGATGGGGATTGCATTTTAAATAATACAATCTTGCATGAGATCATAAGGGTGGTCACCTTCCGGTATACCGGAAGATTGATTTCACCTGATGTTGGGGTTTGTCGCCCCTTCTATTGACTTTAGAACAGTGATTGCTTTTTCTTTGTCGGGGTTTGCATTGGGATTGATCCCATGCTGCTATGGCAAGAGATTAGTTAGCTCGAGTTCTTTAGTAAAGTGCTTGTACATGGACCGACTCAGCCATGTACATACATTGCCACCTGAGTTCTTCATTGAAGGATTCAGGGGCGCGTGGTAAACCGTCTCTAGTCTACCCAGTGGATGAAAAAGACACCGTGAAATAAGGCTGTCCGGCAGATGTTCACATTAAGCACTCGACATTCGACTGCTAAAGCTTTCTTAAATGCTTTTAACTTATCACGGTATGGCTTCGTAAAGATTCGAGATTGTTTTTGCGGCTGTCAAAGCTTTCATAAATGCTTTCATCTTATCACGGTATGGCAGCCACGATTGAAATGCTCTACGCGTTTCTTTACTTAGCTTAGATAGGTCCTAGTTCCATCATGGAGGGAAGTTTTTTTTTTTTGCTTAGTAATTGGGTAGGAAACTTCTTTTCAAGACCAGCAATTGAATCTTCAACAACTGGTATCTTCATAAGTTTGTGTCTGAGGATTTCTTTATACATGAGCCAATCGGTTCTTCTTGTGTTCTTAAAGAGCGTTTTCCCCTTATAAGGCAACCAGTTATATGATAATATATAAGATTAATCAGATTAACTTTATTAATCTAAACAATAGTGAGATGTATTATATTTAAACGTTGTGAAATAGTATTCACTTCTCCCAATAAATATAATAGTAAAAACAATTTATAATTAAAATTTTTTCAACACAGTGACAGTATAATTTATAAACATTAACAATAAATAAAAACGCTAAATAAATTTAACATTTTTGTCAGTATTTTAAATACACACTCTGTTCATAATTGTATTCAATAGTTATAGTTAACCGACAAAAAACAAATAAACTATGAACGATAACACAGTGAAAAGTCTTTTGTCGGCAACTACTGTAGAGCGAACATTTTGATTTGAAATTTCACTTAAGCACCCAATGCCCCGAATTGTACGCAAACTAGCAAAAACAACTAAGACCCCACAAATGATCGATCGATATTTTATAATAAAACATATTATAAATAAAGCTTTGCTATAAATCTGTTTAATAGAAAACAAATTTAGGGTACCATTACCTAGAATGGCACAGAAGTAGGTGTAGGCGGCATAGTTCAAAAAAAGAATACAATTCGATGTGAAGTTTTGATACAAACATTAAATTGGATTGAGTAATATGAAAAAGGGAGCCACAAAGGGTTGTGTAGTGTTGTAGGGGAAGGTGGAGTGGGGAAACGCATAAATAAACATTATTTTCGGTAATTAATTTGTCAACATAAAATGTTATTTCGAGATTAGGAAAATAAAAAATACACACACAAACATATGTGGCCCAAAAGTACAAGGCGCCCTTAATTTAATCGATAACTAAGCAGGTAATAAACGTGTGTCAATATTGTAATAATTATGTTTGTGTAGCAGCCACAACACCTTTTGTTATTATAAGTTTTTCCTTAAAGAAAATAACGTTATCAGAAGTTTTTTTCTTCTTTTCACTTAACCACTACTGTTCAATTAAGCACTACAAAACAGTAGCAGTTCAAACACATGTGAAGATAACAAGCCAACAACTATAGATTCTAACAAACATCTATAATTAGAGATTATCGCCTTGTTTGTAAATTGTATTTACTTAAGAAATGTTTATGTTATTTTGTATGTGTTTTACAGGTAATAATCGTTCCATCAATGAGACTACAATTAAAACAGAAAACATATCAAATTCCGGTCATGATGAGCCAATGACAACGACCACCGATGAACCGAAAAATGATAAGAAAAATAAACGTCAACGCCGCCAGCGAACACATTTTACGTCACAACAATTACAGGAGCTGGAACATACCTTTAGTCGCAATCGTTATCCAGATATGTCGACACGTGAAGAGATTGCCATGTGGACAAACTTAACCGAAGCCAGAGTTAGGGTAAGTGTAATCTACAACATTGGCATAAGAACATATGCCCCTAGAAAAATATTCTTACTTATTTGAGGGGAAACCTATACGAAAATAGAGACATTTTTATGGTGATTGATTGTAGAATAGCATTTGCATTTTTTACTTGAAAACATAGGCGCCAGTAGTTAGTCGGGGGGGAAAAAACTTGATTAAAAACATGTTCATACAATTTGTTTACATATTAAAAATCCATGTTGTCCTCTTTAAAATATTATATATACCACTGACCATAAACAAGCATATAAATACATAATACAAGTAGTACTGCTGGGGTTAAATACAAAAAACAACTACAACCTAACCTCAAACCTTTAATAAACTCATATTTATTGTTTGCAAAACTTTTTACATACATTCCTGGTAACTCGTAAATTTTGTTGGGGTTTTTTTGGAAAACTTATTTTTATACGAAAGAAAAAAAAATAACAGATTTTAATATATGAATGTATACACTCAAATAGATTAAGGTTTCCATTGTTTTGTGGTGCATATATTTTTGTATATTGTGCTATTTGCAGCATATTTTTTGTAGTTGTTGCAGTTGTTTATTTGTGGTCTCAACAATTTAACAAAAATTTATTTACCATTTACCATGTTGCCATTGTTCAGCATTATCGTGCTGTCCCCCCATGTGAATTGTATAGTTGTAGTGTAAACTCACCAAAAATATGTATATGCGATATATAACAGATATTCTCATATACTATATATACAATTCATATATATATTTTTAAAATAAACAGCAACAAAATATCGAATACTTATACAAGTGTGTTGTGGTATATGTTGTACTGTGTTATATTTCGCGCATTGCAGTTGAAAATTTCGTTAAATTTCCACACAATACACTGTTGCACCATTTTGTAAAGTTGCCATAAATTTCATCACCATGTTTGCAGTGGTTTTACTAACAGCATCAGCGGTTTTTAGCAACATCGTAGTCGTCCTCATCAGTAGCAGCAGCATCATCATCATCCGCGTTGTCTTCATCACTACATGCGCATTTTTTTGGCCACTAGTTGTTTTATGTTGAGTTGGGTACGAAATGGGGTTTAGCTGAAAGTTGGGGTTATGTTTTTATTTACAAACTCTATAGGGGTTAATACTTTCATATTTTAGTTGTATTTTATGTTTCAGTTTAAAGTTCCTCTTTATAAAATTTCATTTTTGTTTTAAATTTTATGGGAATAAAATTTTAATCGGAAAATGTCTTTAAAATACATTTGTTTTAAAACATGATTACTTTAGTATTGCTTTCATTGGAACTAATAGAGAATTTTGGTAGAATGCCTAAATACCCTCCGAATTAAATAACATTCACATATCCTATCAGCTAGGCAGGGCATTGACAGAGGAAGTAAGTGTTACTACTCCTCAAAGGACTGGTCCAAAACTAATCCAAATATATCGAAAAAACATACTCCATTTAACATTGTGATGTCCTAATCCATCAATGCATTACATAGGAGCAATCCAAAACTAGTCCCTTGCTATGGGAGTACATGACCCGCGACCAGAGATACAAGCCGATGCGAAATAATCGGCGGCGGCGGCGCAACCATTTTGGGTCGGCGACGGCGGCTTATTACAGAAAATATCGGCGGCGGCTAAATTGTCGGCTCAATTTAACTTTTTCTTTAGAAATTGACCTTATGAGTGTTATTATATTGAAAAATCTTTGTATAATAGTCTGTTACATAGAAACCTGTCTCTATATAAGTTTTTTTCTGCAGAAAATGGACATTTATAGTAGTTTTCACTATTTTAATATTAGCACAATATTGTGTGGCAACTCTTTTCAATTTGCCATAAGAATTCAAAATAGTGGCAACTCCGTTCAATTTGGTGAAATTATGTTCTGAAATACATGTGTGATTCTAATCTTTATCAGCGGCTACGTTTAAGCCGGCTTAGCTTTTGAGCCGAAAGAAGTCGGTGGCGGCGCGGCTTGCAAAATATTACCGGCGGCCAGCCGCCGCCGATTTGAGCCGTCTCGGCTTATATCTCTGCCCGCGACATGCTCCTATGTAATGCAGGCTATGAACCATGTTGTTTGCAAAAATAATAAACATGATCCATTACTGCATTACATAGGACTAATACACGGATCCTGTACTCCAATAATGTTCACAGGCGAGTAGTTTTTGGACTATCTAAATGGATTATGTATGGATTTGGGCAAAATTATCCCAAATTGCCAGATAACACTGCAATAATGTTTCGTAGCTGTGCCCTCAGAATCCTTATTAAGGCTTGATATTTTTGTGGTTTGTATCAAGGCTCAGTCGACCACCTGGATTGCGCAAGCTCGTGAAGTTTATCACGAATCGAACATTTGTAATTTGAAAGCGAAATGATGATGAAGTTGTCGTTATGCTCTCTTGCTAGTGAGGAGCCTCGTTTCGCCAGGGGAGTCTGCGAAGTTATTGACAGGTATCAGTTAATGACCCGGAATACAGTACAGGTCTATTTGTGAAATTTTTCGCCATCTCGTTAAGAGTTATACGACATTCGAGGATAAAGTGTAGATTGCATAATAGTGTCAAAGCGAATTAGCTAAACAGCTGAAATTAAAATCATCTGCATAGTGTTAACCTCAGTTGAGGTAATATTTTAAGTCCTCGAGATCAATTTTTGTGGGAATATTTCACGAAAAATAATGTATTTTGCCTTTAGATAAAGAAAATTTAGGTTTAAACGGCAACATTCACGATATGCCTTTGAAATGTGCAACCGATTTCGGTCTGGTCATAAATTTGTTTCATCTTCGTTTTTTTTTTCGAAATTTTGAATGAGAAATTTGAGAAATAATGAATGAACGAATAAATACATATCGCTCATTTACAAAAAAGTCTGGCATAATCCAAAAAAAGTCGTTTCGAGTAAAATGGCTTTAGATTTTTAATGACATTTTACTATTTTTTAAATAACTTTTAAACAAATCAACAGATTTCAGAATTAAACCAGATTTAGATAGTAGGTTAATATGTTTCTCAACTAAATTCATCTAGTATTCGTGAAAACATGAGTTTTAGTTTTTACGATTTCACACCGAACATTACAGACATATTTGAAAACCCCGAATTTAAGATTATCCCAGTCTTGTAGTGAATGAGCGATGTTTAAAAATTTAACGTTAACATCTTCAGTACTACAATAATTAAAGGCGAATTTCATTGCAGACTACTTTTATCAGTTTCGCTTCGATTAATTTGTAACAAATTTTCAGACACATTAAGAGCCACAAGAATCGTTAATTCATTCGAAAGTGAATGTGATATGTGGAAGGTGAAATAACTGGTAAAAGATACACTCTTATCACTATTTGCATTTCAATGGCTTTATTTATAACATATCATCAAAATATTTTGGACTTAAACCAAAAACATACATTACATTTTTATATACGAATTTTAAAAATTCAATATATTAAAGCAAATTTTGGGGTGACAGCAACTGAGCATTCTTAAACAAATCTTAACAATAAACTTTTTTATTTACACCCAACAAAATACTTAAATTAATTTTTAAAAAAGTGCTAATATTTTCAGTTTGGTTTTTCTACTCTATTAACTTTTAAAAAAGAAAAGGAAAAATATTCCCTTCTCAAAAAAAAACAAAACAAAAACAAACAAATAAAAAAAATCCCAACAAAACAATGTTTGCACAGGATAATCCTTTCATATAAATTGTGTTAAATTTTATTGCCTTTTTTATTATTACAATCGAAGAAACACAATTGTACCTTTTGACTTTTCTATTGTTACGAAAATTTCTAAAGCCACCCCGAACACTAATTCCTGCTAAGGGAGATCATTAATTTCCATGTGGTTTCTAATTCATTAAATTGTAAGCAACTCTAAAGGGGGTAATTTTCATTAAACACCACCCTGCAACCATTATCAGACTACCGAGTAGAAGACTTTACTATAACTCTACCAATATTCAAACTTTGATGACAAATTATAAAAACATTGTTTAGCATTTAGATTTGATTATATTACATTTGCAAACCATCAATTTTATCATGTCTAACCGAAAATAAAGGGAAGAGGAAAAAAGAGATCCGGAGAGGGTAATAAAATGCCTCATAAAGCAATCATACCATTAAGTTACTCTGTCAGGGGGGGGAAACCGAACCGAAAAAGTATGAATAACAAAAGGAAAGATTGTTATATCATTAGGTGTAAAATATGCTTTTCAGTTTTGCATTTTTATTTTGTGTCTCGCAACACATGTTTAAATTGACATAATTTCGCATCATAAAAATTGTTGCAAGTTACACTTGTTTCCTTCACAAATGGGTTTCATCTCGGCAATAGACTCACTCGTAATGTGGTTGTTTGTTTGGTGGTTTAGCTGGCATTTAATGTGGCAATGATGATTATAATAATAATAATATTATCTCGTAACTTTTTACCCTTAAAACAAAGAGAGTTCAAGTAAAATGTTGTTATTTCAAACAAATTCTAATCTTAAAAGTTGCTAGAGAACTTAAAACAAATAAAATAAAAAGAAATTTGAACATATGCATAATGTTACAAATAGTTGACAAATTTGCATTAAAAATCCATGAAATTGTCATTTTCAAAATATAACGCACAAAATTTGTCAGCAACATTTGAAAAGAAATATTTGTAAGTGATGTTATAGCGGGGGTTTCTTTTTTTTTGTCAAACAGCTGTTAAATTTTTGATTTTCTAATTTCTTTAACACTGCTAATTACAAATTTATTATGTTTTTTTTTTCTATCATAAAAAACTAAATATTTTTTAACACCTTTTTTTACCCCTATAATAAAATGTTTATGACACTTACAGACAGACAAACAAAATTCATTTGATTGATAATTTCCCGGTTGCCTTCAAATCCACTACTGTTTTTTATTATTATTTCCATTTATTAAGTTTTTGTTATTGCATTTCAATTACAATAGAAATTTGAAATTATAGATACTTTTGAAATTTGCTTAAGTGTCTGTCTGTCAGTCTGTCTGCTTGTTTATTTATTTATTTGTTGTCTCTCATTATTAT